GGCCAAACACAGACCAAAAAATAACATCCCAACTTCGTCCCGATACATGCCACCGCGTGGTCTGCGTTTGGACCATGGCACCGGTGAGTGTTTCAAATAGAGAGAGTCCAGAAAAAATTGTTCCGATCATCATGTCCATCCCCAGGAAGGAGGTCCGCGTGTGTTCTGGTGATCAGTTACTAGACAGTCTCTGGTCGACAGATATCACGGTCAAACGGATGAGCCAGTGTGTCCGCTTGCATGGGCTTAAACAATGCAATGAAAAAACTTAGAACTCCGTTTAAACCATGGAACAACTTAATACTTTCAATACATCTTTTATAGTATGAAGCAGTCGACTGCCAGCCACTATATTTTATGGGCCTATGGGGAGCCATCACAGGTCCTATACACCTGGAGTGTGATCTAGCACCAGACAACTGCCTGGTGTAACCATTGCCCACCGGGGCAGTTTACTCTCCCTTTGTAAGTCCAAGGCCTCGTCGGGGACAAGCCATCCTGCCATAGCGAGCTCCTGACTGCAGTCGAACCTCTCCACCTCATGGAGTGGTAGTGCAGGTACCTGTTGCCTCCATGCTATAAAAGGCAGTTGTCCAAACCAGAGGGTTCCGGAAGTTTATGAAACCGTGGCACAAATGAAACAGAACACCCGACTTTACTGGTTTGATCAAACCGAAGCCCATGGAAGGTACACAACCGACAATCCTTTCATTATCATCATGCCTACCAGGCACAGGTTTTCCCTTCTTGTTGTGGTTTGTCTTCATCTTCTGCACGTCTGAGTACGTCAATAGTCTCATATAAGTCGCAGGAAGTTGCTCGCCCGAAAAGGGGTGTTATATCAAACCAAGGGGAAAGGGAACACTCCAATCAATTTCAAAGATACAAACATAGAATATGAGTACCGCGTGACAACCATTAGAAAACACTATCCCACTTTTATCACGAGCAAAAGGAATAACATGTCCATGATGTTGGGCTTCCTGTAACCTTTGACAGAGTGACTTCTCGGATCCCATACAATGAGAGACCTGCTAGATAAGACACGAAATGTATACTATTATTTAATACATGCAGCCTGCTTATTGCAGGAGTAGGCATGTCCATGATGGTTGGACCATCCGTTCGCACTTACCTAGATACCCGAATAAGGAAGGAATGGAGGATGGTTATAAGTCAACACCCCCCCCCATACTTCTCAAACACACGTACAATCTTTTCCGCCGTCTCAGGTGCTGGGTAGGAACTCCTTTCACCTGGGGCTTGGTACCACACCTGGTCACCTGCAAACTATTTTGAACTATGGGCTGTAAGACCTCGAGGGTTAATACTAAAATAGACAATACAAGCACGACAACAATCTGAACAAGAAGCTCAATTGCCATTTGAAGGCTTCTGTATGCTGTGCTCTCAGTATCCCACCAGTGCCCTCCTCCTTGCTCTCAAGCCCTGTTGCGAGGCTCAGTTGCCATGGCCGAGGCGGGTGCTGCGGCCAGGCTGAAGGGCAGGCTGACCTCCTCTATCTGCCTGGACATTTACAGGGCCCCCCATGTCTCTGGGGTGCAGTCACAGCTTTTGCAAGGAATGCATCCAGAAGGAACAGAAAAATGCCAGCAGGGCCCTTTCCAGTGCCCATTCTGCCTTTACCCCACAGGCCCCCACCGGGGAGCTGAAGCCCAACTTCAATCTCCGCGACATAGTGGAGAACTTTTTGGACGCTTGTGTTTATCAAGAGGAGGAAAAGCAGGAAGTGCAATGCAAACAGAAGGAGGAAAGTTTGGGGCAGCAAGCAGAGGTGATCTTGTGTGATTTCTGCCTTCAGGATCCCCATCCAGCCGTGAAGACTTGCCTGACCTGCACGGCCTCCCTGTGCCAAGCCCACCTGAGTAAGCACAGCACAAAGAACACTCAGGAAAAAAAAACTACATCCTGGTGGGGCTCTGTGGTGCCCAGGTTTTGGCTGAGAGGAAATGCCCCAGCACGGCAAATTGCTGGAATGCTACTGTGAGAAGGACAAGGTCCGCACCTGCAGACTGTGCTCCGCCCCCAACTCCCACAGGGACCAAAAGAACATCAGCTTAAAAAAGGCCCTCGGCCAAGCACAGAGTGTTTCTCCCAAAACTCCAGAAGGGGTGAGAAACTATGAAACTGCACTGGATCGAGGCATAGGAAACCTGCTGGAACAATCCTCTGCAAAAGGAGCTCCTTGGAGTACAAATGCTGCTGAGAAAAAACTTGGAAATGGACAATACAACACCACTTGCAAATTATGCAAGCGATAAGTCTGGTAGGAAACAAGCAGTCTATTTTGCTGAGCACACAGCACACTGATCAACATAACTAGTCTGCTCTGGCCTCCAGCCAGGAGGCCTGAAGACACCCTATCTACAATGCTGCAGACGTTTTTGAAAAGGCACGCAGGAGGGCCTTGGCAGTCAGCAAGGCCCCCCATGACGGGCTAAACCAGCAAGGTAGCAACA